ATAAAAGAGCAATATGCAAATTAACCATCACTCCTTCACTCCCTCACTCCGTCACAAAGATGGCAGTGGCCACGGAGCTGGAGTGAGCAGGAGGCTTGGGTTGCCCCCGGCGATGGAGGAAGCCAAGCTTCCCACCCGCCCTGGCAGGTCCTGAGCTCCGCTCAAGGCTACAAAGTTTCAATTATAGAAGATAAATAAATCCCAGATACCTGCTGAAATAAAAAAGAAAAAAGGAGAGGCTGGGAGCTTCGGTCGCCAGGGAGCTTGACCAGCCTGAAAACAGCCATAAGCCCCTCACCCAGGCTGGCCAGCCACCCCAGTGGGGACCCCCCACCCTGAAGGGGGTGTGGACAGCCTAAAAACGGCCTTCAGCCCCTCACCCAGGCTGGCCAGGCACCCCAGCGGGACCCCCACCCAGGTTTGGGACACCCTTCAAGGCAAACCAGCTGGCCCCCACTCGTGCAACAGGCCTCTATCCTATATAATAAAAGGGTAATATGCAAATTGACCCTAACAGCAGAATGACTGGGAATGACTGGTCACTATGACACACACTGACCACCAGGGGGCAGACGCTCAATGCAGGAGCTCCCCCTGGTGGTCAGTGTGCTCCCATAGGGGGAGCTCTGCTCAGCCACAAGCCAGGCTGACGGGTGCCAGCACAGTGGTGATGGCGGGAGCCTCTCCCGCCTCCTCAGCAGCGCTAAGGCTATCCGACTGCAGCTTAGGCCTGCTTCCTGCTGGCAAGTGGACATCCCCCGAGGGCTCCCGGGCTGCCAGAGGGATGTCTGACTGCCAGTTTAGGTCCAATCCCCCGAGGAGCGGGCCTAAGCCCCAGGTGGACATCCCCCGAGGGGTCCCAGAATGTGAGAGGGCACAGGCCGGGCTGAGGGACCCCCCTGAGTGCACAAATTTTTGTGCACCAGGCCTCTAGTCTATATATATAAAACCCTAATATGCAAATAGACCGATTGTTCGAACAACTGAACAACTGGTCGCTCTGACATGCGCCTACCACCAGAGGGCACATGCGGAACGTGGCAAGCGTCGGCAGCAGGCAGCAGAGTGCGGAACATGATGGGCATCGGCCACAGTGGGATGGTGGAGCAGGTGAGCGAGGGTGCCAGACCAAGGCGGGGCAGCGGTCGCTGTCATTGGGGTGAGCCTCTGGTGGTTACTGAAAATTCTTTGCTCCTGCATGCCACGGTCCTGCCTGGTGCTCACACCTGCTGCTGGCCCCGCTCATACCCGCTGCCAGCGCCCAGCGCCAGCCCTGATTGCTTGGTGCTGTCAGTGAGTGTGAGCGGTGGCTGCCGGCCCCAATCACCCCTTTGGGCTTCTCCACTTCCCCCTGCTCTTGAGAGGCGATCGGGGCCAGCAGCCACCTCTTGCACCCGGTGCCAGCGATTGCCCCGCTTGCATCTGCTGCCGATGCCAGAGCTGCTTCTTGCACCCACTGCCAGCACCAGCCCTGCTTGCACCTGCTGCTGGTGCTGGCCCCAATCGCTCCGCGCTGCCAGTGGGTGCAAGTGGGGCCAGCGCTGTCAGTGTGTGGGAACAGCGGTGGTGGGAGTGGGGCTGCCGGCAGACAGGACCGGGGTGGGGGGGCTGTGGCAGGAGGGGATGGGTGGGGGCACAGAGGATGGGCCGAGACCCACTGCAGCCTCGTGGCCCACAGTTCCTTTCAAGGCGTACAAATTTGTGCACTGGGCCCCTATTAAGTATATAAGTTCTTTGGTTTATCTCTTCTCGTCCCCCTAACCCCACATCGAGGTATGTCAGTCTGTTCCCTGCCTCCATGCTTCTGGTCTTATTTTGTTAGTCAATTAATTTTGTTCATTAGAGTCCACAGATAAGTGAGATCATGTGATATTTGTCTTTCTCAGATTGGCTTATTTCACTTAGCATAATATTTTCCAGGTCCATCCATGCTGTTGCAAAGGGTAAGAGATCTCTCTTTTTCACAGCTGCAGAGTATTCCATGGTATAAATGTCCCACAGCTTTTTTATCCATTAATATACTGATGGGCACTTCGGCTGTTTCCAAATCTTAGCTATTGTGA